ATGCGGTACAACGCCTGAAGGAACTCTTTTTGCAAGAAAGGGATTCGTGGAGAACTGCGAGTCGTGGCAATGTTCCACAAAGTGGTTCTTCAGGCTCCAATGATGGGCCGAAAAAATCGGTTCACCTTGGCGAAGGGCGCGACAAAGCGTCGCGGGGGGAGACCCGCCAAGAAGTGACTTCACAAGTTTTTTCGCTACCACAACCTTCTCGTCGAGCTGAACGGTCTCAAAAAAGAACAAGGGATGGTTCAGTTATGGTTGGTTCGCTGGCGGTGGGCTCCACGGATGAGGTTTTACCTGGGCAAGGTGCTGCTGGACAGGTGAATGTCTCTGAAAGCGCTCAAGTTCTTCCTGGGCATGAAGTGGCTGGACAGGAGACGGCGCCGGAAGGAGCAGTACAGATTTCTGGCGAGGAGACCGACCAAAAAGAAGGAGAAGGCGGGAGCAATGATCTCCGTGGTAATGATGCGAAGATGTTGGATGGTGGTCCGGTGAGGAGTGACCTTCAGCAATTGCTGGTGAAAGGCCTTCTGACTCGAATTTATTGGAAGGTTGCAGTTGGCAAGTTGCCAATGGGGCAAAGAGATTGCCAAAAAGGGTCCAATAAGATGGATCGAAATTTGGTTATTAGCATGTCATCCGAGGGTGCAAGCGAACAGGATGAGAACCTGGCACTGGAGGACGATGCTGATCAGTCAATGGGAGACGGTGCAATGGTTATGGTGTATGATCCAGGAACGCTGATCCAGTCGCCAACAACTGATTGGGTTATGCGTCGCGGTCTGACCGATCGTACCGTCTGGCCAGCAATGGCGCACCTGGCACAGAGGATATGTGCTGAAATGGTTCAAGTGGATGAAATGAATGCCCAGCTAGGGACTGGAACACTCCTTTTTCAAAGGAGAGATCAAGGACATTATACTGACCTGCATCATTCGTTCCATGACAACCCGTGCTTGCCGGCGGTGGGGAATTACCCTCTTTCGGTGATGGGTACCTTGTTGTCTCCTGGTCTGGAAGGGGAATTCAAGAATACGGACAAGTTTGGTACTGCTATGGAGGCAATTGCCTATGATTGGAGCCGCAGTCCAGGCATGGAAGTTCATATTGAACTTATGGCGAGGGTAGCCAAAATGGTTCACCCATTCCTGAATCTGGGAGCACAAGGGTCGGTGATGGTTTCAGAATTTCTCTGGCAGCGCGGGAGGGCTCGGTTGATGGAGTTTCTTCAAGCGGCGACTTGTGCGGACCAATTGGAGGCTCTCTGGAGAAGGATGGACGACGATGCGGATGAGGAGGTGGATCCTTCGACAGCGATGCTGGAAGTTCTTGGACTAGAGGATGCGGTGCTTGATCAAGGGAACAATGAATCCCTTATTCCCATTGAAGATGCTGGAGGTGAGACAAGCGGTGACACTGGAGGGAAGGGCAAAGCGCCAGAAGTTTCTCCGGAAGAGGAGAAATCCAGTGGGTCATCCAGACTGGCGGACACAAGGATTTTCTTGTGGTCAGTGTACTCCCGCGTGGCTTCGAATTTCTCTATGCAGGACCGCACTACTGGTAAGATCTTTGACAGCACCAAAGGATATCCTGGTGAAGGACCAAACAATGATGACAATCCTTCCTCTAAGGGGAACTTTCCCTGGATTTCAGAAGACTACCTTGACGAAGTGGTGTCAAAAAAGATGGAAAGGTCTTCAGAGATGGATGGGTTTGTTCCGGGAAGTGAGGGATCATTGGAAAAGGTAGAGGTGGAGAATGTCACTGCCTCTAAAATTCTTATGGCTCTTTGGAAGAAGGGACATAGAGTTGGGTTTAGAAGGTTGCGTCGTTTGAATGCATCTGGATGCAAGGTTGGAGCAATGAAACGTCCAATCAAAAGGGTGCAGAAGATTGGCGCTAGGAAGGCCTTCATGAAGATGTTCAATGTTTTTGGATCGTCTCAGCATGGCTCAGGAGTTGGCGGAAAACCGATCATGAAGGTGGTAGGACCAAGGCCAGGTTTTCCAGCTGTACTCCAAGCACCAAATACTGATAGCACGTCGGGTGAAGGGAGCAGTCCCCAGGTACATGGCAATGTTCATGTAGAGCACAGTCGCCCTATGGACCGGTATGAGGCAGAGCGCTTGGAGAAGAGGAAGAAGGGTTTCTGCTATTGGTTTGGCAAAGGGAAAGACCGCTGCAAATTTGGTGACGACTGCAAATTCATCCATTCCGAAGATGATGTGGTGCTACATTCATATTGGTGCAAGCACTATGTGGCAGGGAGAGAATGTTTTGCTGGAAAGGATTGTGGGTTCTCGCATGATGCAACTGGTGTGAGGTGCGTCCAGTTTGCTCGGTCTGGGAAGTGTCGATTTGGTGACAGGTGTGTCTTCGAGCATGGTGTTCCGTTGGAAAAACAGAGGCCAAGGTCTCCAAGGACGCCCCCAAGGGATGGTTCAAGGAGAAAGTCTGGTGCAAATGGTGGAGAAAAGGAGATCCCTCCTGAACAGTTCGATGATGATGAGGAGGATTTTATGGTTTATGACGAAGAGACCAAGATGACGGAACTGTTGATGGAGGCGATTTCATTTCTCTCCGGTGGCAAGCCAGATTTGGCTCGAGCAGAGGCGGACCCATTGTTCAAACTCCTGAAGTTCACTGGAGATGCTGACCAAATGGATCAAGTATGGGTTTCGTGGACCACTGAAATGTTGTCAGTGCTGGAACTTCTCGAAGTAGTGAAGTCGTATGATGTTTCGCTCGCGGAGGTGGAAGAATGGGTCAATGACCTGAGGATATGGTATGAGCGAGCCAATTTGGGAGAAGAAAAGGATCCCAAAAAAGGGAAAAAGAGGTCCCTAGAAGGGGAGTCCAGCAAAGATATTCCTGCCGAAAAAGAAGTGGTTGAGACTTCGGAGACGGAGGTTGCCGTTGAGGAGGAGAAGAAAAAGGTAAAAAAGAAGAGGAAAGCTGCAGCTATCGAAGATCCTTACACTCTCATGGTTCCAAAGCCGAAGAAGATGCCGACGATCATTGAGAAGGGTGGATCAACATCCAATGTGGTGGCTTCTGCAGTGGAAAAATCCTCGAAGACGCGCGCAAAGTCAAATGTCGGTGGAAAGACAAAGAAGAAGGAGAAAAGTCAGAGTCCCAAAAAAGAAGAGGTGGTAATGGTGCACGATCCTGAGGAAAAGGATCGTCCATCCGATGCGGAGGCACCAGGGTCTGCCAATGCGAATGAAGAGCTGGGTCAATCTTGCCAGGCGATTGAGGGCGCAAAGAGAGAAGGATTGGTATCCTCAATTCAAAGGGGCATACAGGATCCTATTCTTACGATTTCGGACCTGGAGTATATTCGGCTGCAACTTCACCTCAAGATTGCCAACAATCGGAAAAAGAAGTGATTGGATGGTATGGATGAAGGGATGGTTTTTCTCTTTCTGGAGACCGGTGCGCTGGAACAGCCAATGTGCTGACAATGTGGTGGTTACTATTAAGGGTATGGAAATCCCTGATAGTAGGAGTCAGTAGCTTTTCGCGTAGCGAAGACCACGGTTTGTGGTGAAGAAGGCCAAGGAGTCTTCAGTGATGAGAGGATCAAGGTGAAAAAAGATTCTCTATGGGTAGTAGGTTAGCCAATGTGCTATAATTCCGTCCTGGAAGACGTTAAACCACAATTTGCATTTCAAGCAGCTGGCTGCTGCCGTAATGGCAGTTTTTGGCCAAAAGATCTGCATCTCCAATGTGTCCTAGGAAATCCTAGGACAGGGGGAGTGCGGAGCTGCAATTGGTATTGTAGAAAGGAGTTAGTGTTGGAAGTTGGAAGGGTTAATGAACCCGGTAATCGTATTTGGCTCAAGATGGGCTTGAACAGAAAGCCACAAGTTCAAAAAGTAGTGCCTGGGTTCTTAGGGTTTGGTAAGGGTGTGGATTCCTTCCCCCTTTCCTTCCCCCCTGGGTTGCTCTTATCCGTGTTCTTGGTTGTTTCTTGGTTCGATCTGGGAAATATAAGTTCAGGGCGATTAGGGGAGTTGATTTCCTTCCTTGGTTGTCCCCCCGTATAGGGTTTAGGGTTTCGGATTTAGGGTTTCGGGTTTCGGGTTTCGGGTTTAGGGTTTCGGGTTTAGGGTTTAGGTTTAAGGTCAGGCTTGAACGTCCTCAACCCTTAGCGGAGATGGGGAGTGAACAATGCAAAGCCCTGAAGCCCAACGGGTCCAAAACAAAACCTGAACACCCAACCACCCTAAACCCTGCACCCTGCACCCTGCACCCTACACCCTAAACCCTAAACCCTAAACCCTAAACCCAAGACCCTAATCCCTAAACCCTAAACCTTTAACCCTTAACCCTAAACCGTAGACTAAACCCCCAAACTTGAGAAGGAAACGGAGCCCTCAACCCACAAGGGACCCTAAACGGAGATGGGGAAAGCAACGCGAAACAACCCACCGTATGAAAACGCGAAGATGGGGGTTTAGGGTTTAGGGTTTAGGGTTTAGCTAGGGCCTAGGGTTCATGGGGAGTTTTAGTGGTTCTTAGTAGGGAATGAGGGGTAAATTGGAAGGTTATAGTACCTTATATGCTATCCACGAAAGAAGTCATGCAGGGAACAGAAGGTGCCTCATTCTCAAATTCTCTAAACGCCTACCCCAACCCTGAGTTCCCACTTCCGGAATTCCCTACACGGACCTAGGCCCTAAGCGGAGACGTCACCATTGATCCTCTGCAGTTTCCTGCGACTTCCAGCATGTTCTGCCCAAAGCCTTGAACCCTACCCGGCCGGGTTTGGGGTTTAGGGTTTAGAGTTTAGGGTTTATGGTTAGGGTGTCAGGGTTTCAGGGTTTAGGGCCTTCTCGCTCGCTCAGAACGTTCTGCGAATCCTAGGCGCGCAACCTTTGTTTTGAAATGGGTATTGAGGTCCCCTGATATACCCCAAAGTAGTAGAGGCTTATTATAGGGACCCCGAGAGGGGTATTCGGATTCTCTGAAACGCCCGTATGCGCTTGCTTCTCGAGGTTCTGACCCTTTCTGGGCATGAAGATTGGGTGCGGGCCTCTGATGGCAGAGATCTTGTCGCGCGTGCTTGTTGCATGTCGGCTTGAGGGCAGGGCTTAACCATAGGCACCTGCGATCCCGATTTAAAAAGAGAGAAATCGTCATTCTCGCAAATGCTGGCAGGACTCTGCACCAACAGCACTGCAATGTCGCACGAAAAGCTGGATTTGGACTAGATGGCTTCCTGTGTTCCTCGATGTGTGGCACGCGTGTCGTCCCCACCCGAACCCCATCGACCCCCGTCACCGAATTTCACTCACCAGAGTGCAGAGTAACTCTGCTTCCCACCTCTCCGCATCCCCCGAAGCCTATATCCATGAATGCTTGAACGGTAAACCTCAGGTCCTAAATTACACTGGCATGTCTTGGAGGGCGGCAGAAATCCTACTGCCACTGTCTTTCCCTGTTTCTTCGGTTCTCTTGTTTGAAAGACGAGGGTACTTAGTATGTAGCTCATAAGTTTAGAACCGTAGCCATGAGTATTTATGATAGGTTCTCCCACCTTGATCCTTGTTTCTGCGCTGTGTACTATGTGCCGTGAGCCGTTGAGTGGACCGGGCATGGTGAACACACCATGCTTCATATCTTCAAGGGTTGGGGGTTTAGGGCTCAGGGTTTAGGGTTCTGTGGCACTGGTTCTGGGCGTCGCCGGTGATGGTCCTGATTTGGATTGGGGGTGGCTAAGGCGTAGATGAACGTGCTCATACATCGCGGAACCTGCGAGGTCAGATCTGCAGCTTTCTCACCAGACGGCCCGGCCCTTGGGCCATAAACCCTACACCGCTCCACCCTAAACCTCAAACCCCTACACCGGTTTAGGGTTTAGGGTTTAGGGTTTAGGGTTTAGCGTTAGTTATGTGGTCAATTCTCCTTCCACTATGGCCCCGGTTCGGCCACAATCTATGGGGAGGTTCCTTTAGGGCTTAGGGTTCAGTGTTTAGGGTTCAGGATTGATGATTTAGGGTCGAGGGTTTATACGATGGGCCAGTGGATGCTAAGGAAAATCTCTGCTCGCTTAGATCACAAGCCAAGTTCGAGGAGTTCTTTGCTTTGAAGTTTGCCTCTTGCCTCTTCCCTAAACCCTAAACCCTAAGCCCTAAACCCTAAACCCTAAACCCTAAACCCTAAACCTTAAACACTTTTTGTCGGAAAGGGTGGTGTGCACCATAGCCAGGGCAGGTTTAGCGTACCTCTTCTCACTGCCCACTTTTTTTTTTCAAGTTTTGGTGGTTTATGTTCGGTTGCTAGGAGCGACAGGAATGAGTGAGCGCGTTAATACAACAAGAATAGCGAGAAAGTAGGTTAGGGAAGTGATGTGGTTTTTTCACGTGAATTAGTCCAAACCATGAAGACGAAAGCGCAAATGATCGAAGGCATGCGCAGTGCTAGATGATACATGGTTCATTAAGGGATGTGAAGACCCTGAAACTTATTCGCCTATATACCCCCAGGCTATACCTTAATGCCTTATGCAGTCTTCACACCGGGGATCTTCTGGTAGGGTTTCGGGTTTAGGGTTTCGGATTTAGGGTTTAGGGTTTCGGATTTAGGGTTTACGGTTTCGGGCCATTCCTGTGACGCAGATGGGCTTTGCTGTGGAAAACTTGTGGCTTTGGATTCAGGGCCTGTTAGCTGCCTTTGGATCGTAGGGCGCAGGGTTTAGGGTTTAGGGTTCAGGGCTTTCGGCTGCAGGGAGGGTTCAGGGTATTTAGGGTGTCAGGTTTTGGGGCTTTTAAGGTTTAGAGTTTAGGGTTTAGGGTTCAGAATGTAGGGTTCAAGATTATTCGCAAGCCTTCATTCAAAACCTAAGCCCTAATCAGTGCCCGGACCATCCGAAAGAGAAAGGTCAACCTTGAACCCAGATGTTTTCTGACCTGAACCCGAAACCCTACCGTAAACCTCAAGACCCCCCCCAACAAAATCCTAAACCCGAAGCCTTAAACCCCACCCCCCTCCCCCCCCCCCAAAAAAAAAGAAAAACAAGAAGAAAAAACAACAAACAAAAAACCCAAACCTCCCCCCCCCCCCCCCCAAAAAGTCCATGACTCGGGGCGTTGGGTTTAAGGGTTCAGGGTTTAGGGTTTAGGTTTAGGGTTTAGGGTTTAGGGTTTAGGGTTCGGGGCATGCCCAGCACAGCTGTGTTCGCAGTAGCATTGGTCTTCGGCACTAGATCGTTTTGAGTGCTTAGGGTTTAGGGTTTAGGGTTTAGGGTTTAGGGCTCTAGGTCTGTTTTCAGGGTTCAGGGTTTAGGGTTAGGGCGTTTAGTTTTTTTTTGAGGGTTTAGGTTTAGGGGTTCAGGGGTTGTTAGGGTTTAAGGTTTAGGTCTTTAGGGTTTTCAGGGTTTAGGGCTTGGGGTACAGGGTTTTGGTCCAAAAGGGCTTGTTGTTTTTGTATGGCCTGTTGTGGCTTTCCTTGGAGATTTTTGGTGTCTTACCCAAAGTTCCCGAAACTCGAAACCTTGAGCCCTGAACCCTAAGCCCGAAGCCTAAGGCCAAAGCTCTGCTTCCAGTGTTTAGGGTTTGGGGTTTGGGGTTTAGGGTTTAGGGCTTAGGGTTTAGGGTTTAGGGCTAGGGTTTAGGGAACCCCAAAACTGAAGTGGCAGGGACCATCATCGGTTCGGCCTCCTACGACGGCACGGTTCGACTCTGGAGCGTGACGGGCAAGTGTCTGAAGGTTTTGGAAGGCGGGACCCGGGATCCCAAACCCGAAGCCCTAAACCCCAAACCCGAAACCCTAAACCCGAAACCCTAAACCCCAAATTCCCGCCCGGCCTGCTTAGGCCGTACCCACCCTATACTAGGGTGCCTGGACCCAGAACTATACCCGCCAGCCAGACACAAATACAGTCCCTAGGGCTGAGCCTTGCTTTAGGACCACTCACGTGGTCCTTATACTTACAAGGGGAACCCACGATCCTCCTCTTGATGCGGAATCCTTCGGTGGTGTTTTTTTGGGTACACGCCCAGAGCCAAAAAAGGCTCCCCCCCCTTGCCCCCCTTGCCCCCCCCCCGGCCATCCTACTCTGGGATTGAAAATAAATGCCTTCGCGTGACATGCCGCCCCCCCACAGCCCCTGGGTGTGTAGGGGCGCCATTTCCACATGGTACTTACTGCTGCTGCGCGGCGAGACGCCCTAAACCCTAAACCCTAAACCCTAAACCCTAAACCCTAAACCCTAAACCCTAAACCCTAAACCCTAAACCCTAAACCCTAAACCCTAAACCCTAAACCCTAAACCCTAAACCCTAAACCCTAAACCCTAAACCTTAAACCTTAATCCCTGACCCTGACCCCTAAACCCTAAACCCTCTAAACCCTCTAGGGTGGACCCTACTGCCAGCCCTAAACAGCACCGAAGACCCCCAACCTTCAGGTGTTCCGGTTTTGTGCTGCAGGACGTAGATGTCCAGCCTATAAACCCCCAAGCCCTGAACTCGTGGGCCTGTGTAAACATACATATCAGGGTTTAGGGTTTAGGGTTTAGGGCTTAGGGCTTAGGACTTAGGCTCCCCGAAGCCCAGCACCTTGAAGCTGCCCTCAACCCTCAACCCTCAACCCTAAACCCTAAACCCTAAACCCTAAACCCTGAACCCTAAACCCTAAACCCGAAACCCTAAACCCTAAACCCTAAACCCTAAACCCTAAACCCTAAACCCTAAGCCCTAAGCCCTACACCCTAAACCATAAACCCTAAACCAAGACCTAAACCGAGTCTCACGGAGACCACAGCCGCAGGCCATGACGGTGCTGTGATCTCAGTGGCCTTCATTGAGGGCTGAAGCAAGAGGCGACGGAGGGTTTAGGGTTTAGGGTTTAGGGTTTAGGGTTTAGGGTTTAGGGTTTAGGGTTTAGGGACCCAGAGAAAACTCTTGGGGTTCGGGATGGAGGTCCGGCCCTCAATCCTTGTGAGGTCGTGGGCAGTGATGGCAGTATGTGGGCAGTAGGGGATTAGGGTTCAGGATTTTGGTTGAAGGTTTAGGATTTAGGGTTGGGGTTTAGGGTTTAGGGTTTAGGGTTGAGGGTTTAGGGTTTAGGGTTTCGGGTTTAGGGTTCAGGGTTAGTGTTGCAGCATAGGGCTGAGTGTGGAGGATGTGCTGAAGGCTGGAGGTGTTTAGGGTTTAGGGTTTAGGGTTTAGGGTTTAGGGTTTAGGGTTTAGGGTTTAGGGTTTAGGGTTTAGGGTTTAGGGTTTAGGGTTTAGGGCAACCATGCGGTCCTAATGCCGAGCAGAGAAAACCCGTAAATGTCGTAGACATGCAGCGCGAGCTGGCTTTGCCCTCAGGTGGCCCGGTTTGGCAATACCGTGAGCCCTAAACCCTAAACCCCAAACCGGCCCAAACCCTAAACCCTAAACCCTAAACCCTAAACCCTAAACCCTAAACCCTAAACCCTAAACCCTAAACCCTAAACCCTAAACCCTAAACCCTGAACCCTGAACCCTGAACCCAAAACCCGGAACCCTGAACCCGGAGCCCTGAACCCTGGGGTTTCACGAGGTGCTGCTTTCAACCTCACAGGCAAAGGGCTTGGGTATTTTGCTCCCCGTGCCACGACAACCCAGGTTGTGAGTCCCAAACTTGCACACCCTGCTTGCCTAAGACCCCGAAGCCTAAACGGCTCCAACCCCAAACCCCAAACCCCAAACCCCAAACCCCAAACCCCAAACCCCAAACCCCAAACCCCAAACCCCAAACCCCAAACCCCAAACCCGAAACCCGAAACCCGAAACCCGAAACCCTAAACCCTAAACCCTAAACCCTAAACCCTAAACCCTAAACCCTAAACCCTAAACCCTAAACCCTGCAAAACAGTTGGAAGCTATGCTGTGCGAGGTGCTTCTGCTGCCGTGAGTCTGGGATCCTGATGTGCATCAGAGATATCAGAGTTTAGGGTTTAGGGGGTTTAGGGTTTAGGGTTCAGGGTTTAGGGTTTAGGGTTTAGTTTATGCGTCCAGCAGTTAAGCGTGTGGAGCTCCTAGATGGTCTCTGACCATGTTATCGCCAGAGCTAGTTGCGAGTCAACGTTGGGATGCTCCTCCTTATACTAACAGTCCTTACTAGGGAACCCTAAACCCTAAACCCTGAACCCTAAACCCTAAACCCTAAACCCTAAACCCTAAACCCTAAACCCTAAAATCCTAAATGCCCCGAAGCTCGCGAAGCTCCCTAAACTCCCTAAACCTAAGCTCCACGACCTTTCGGCTCTTTTGTCAGAGATCCCAGCAGAACTTTTTGAAGCGCCAGCAAGTGGGAGGCGACATGTTGCACACATCCTTGCGAACAAGAGCCGGAGCAACCAAGAGCCGAAGTAAGTTCTTAATAAGGAATGAGGGCTTAGGATTTAGGTTTAGGATTTAGGGTTTAGAGCTTCGGGTTAGGGTTTAGGGTTTAGGGTTTAGGGTTTAGAGATTAGGGTTTAGGGTTTAGGGTTGAGGGTTCCTAAGATTCCTACTCTGGAGCCTAAAGGTCCCGAAGACTGTATGGTACCTAGTTCGCCACCTGCTTCGGGTTAGAAGTTTCAAAGGGTGGGGTAACCCTAAACCTTTAAACCCTTAATCCTAACCCCTAAACCCTAAACCCTAAACCCAAAGACCCTCAAACCCATAAACCCTGTGAGCCCTAAAGCCTCAAACCCTCAAACCTTTAAACCCTTAAACCCTACGACCCTTAAACCCCGAAACCCATAATCCGTAAAGCCCTCAAACCCTAAACCTTTAAACGTGTAAACCTTCAAGCCCCGAAAGCCCGAAAACCCTTCGATACGGATACCCAGACCCTCAAGCCCTGAACCTTAAAGCCCGAAACCCGAAACCCTAAAACCCTTAAACTTTAAGCCTTAAACCCTGAAACCCTTAACCCTTAAATCCCTAAACCCGAACCCCTAAACCCAAAAAAACCTGAAGCCGTAAAGCCGTAAGCCCTAAACCCGAAACCTCAACACCCCAATATCCTGCAATCCCTTAAGCCCTTAACCCTAAAGCCCATACACCTTTAGCCTTCAACCCCTGGAACCCCAAAACCCTTTAACCCCTTCACCCTAAACCCCCGTAAAACCTAAAACCCTTAAAATCCCTACAGCCCTTTAACCCCAAAACCCTGAAGCCCTAGAAACCTAACAAATCCTGAAACCCTAAACCCTCCTAAACCCAAACCATTAAACCCTAGCCCTAACCCTAAACCCTAAACCCTAAACCCTAAACCCTAAACCCTAAACCCTAAACCCTAAACCCTAAACCCTAAACCCTAAACCCTAAACCCTAAACCCTAAACCCTAAACCCTAAACCCTAAAACCCTAAAACCCTAAATCCCTAAACCCTAAAATCCTAAACCCTACCCCTAAACCCTAAGCCCTAAACCCTAAACCCGAAACCCTAAACCAACAAAATCGGGCTTCGCGCCGATGCTTCGGCCTGTTGAGTCCGAGGCGACTTAGATAAACGGACCCCTAGTAGGAACCCCCTAAGCAGGGAACCCCCGATTTAGGGTTTAGGGTTTAGGGTTTAGGGTTTAGGGTGTAGGGTCTAGGGTTTAGGAATATATGGTGGGATATCAGGACCCTGGCAGGTGTATTTCGATTCTTTTCCTACTAAATCCTTGGGGTTCCCTGCTTTGGGGTTCCTATTGAAGTCCTTTTATTTGATGGGTGGCAATTCGGGCAGCTCTGGCATATGGGGGTCGAGCAAAATCATGGGCCCCTTTTGGGGTTTAGGCTTTTCGGGTTCAGGGGTTAGGGAGTAAGGTTTAGGTTCTTTTTTTTGAAGGGGGGGGTTTAGACTTGAGGTTCGGGGTCCACGAGTTTTCTCCTCTATGGTGCCTTCCTCTACTCGTTTAGGTTGCCAAAATGGGACCTGTAACTCAGATCCGCTCCCATGAAGAACCCTAAACCCAAGCCTAAACCCTAAGCCCTGTCACAATTCAATGCCATTGTGCCGTGGCCCCAGCCCTGCAGATGTCTCGTTGCTTTGAAGCCACTGTTCAACGCTTTCCTAAGCCCTAAACCCTAAACCCTAAACCCTAAACCCTAAACCCTAAACCCTAAACCTTATAAGTAGACCTACTTGTGGTTCTGAGTACCCATGAACCCTCCCAGCAGGCCCAGAACCCTGCCCGAGAACCCGAAACTGGAGCTGCCAATCACGTTTTCCGAGTTCTCCTGCGGCTAGCTTGTTTGATCTACCATTGGGCAGGCTTTTCTGGCGGCAAGCATCACTGAAACCCTAAACCTTGAACCCTGAACCCTAAACCCTAAACCCGAAATCCTGAACCTTAAGCCCTAAACCCTAAACCCTAAAGCCTAAACCCTAAACCCTAAACCCTAAGCCCTTGAGGTTCTAAGCGGCCTGGCCGCCTAGTCCCCCCTCCCCAGCCTACAGCACCTGAAGCATCTGTCTTAGGGTTTAGGGTTCAGAGTTTAGGGTTTAGGATTTAGGGTTTAGGGTTTAGCGTGATTCCTTGTTTGGAACTCCGGCTGAAACGTTGAAGAGCAGCATGGCCGCCACCCCAAAATTCTACATCGCGGCGGCCGAAACCCAAGTCCTAAATCCTAAGCCTGAAGCCTTAAACTCTTACAAGCTTTAAAACCCGATCTCCCATACAAACCTTGAAAAAAGCCTGAACCCCTAAGCCCTAAACAAGGTTTCCTGGAGCCTCGAGCCTAAGACATACACCCTCAGACCCAAACCCTAAACTCTACCGCCAGAAAAAACCTTCGATTCACGATTTTGCCACATTTTCTTGCAAGAGCTGCGACGCGCCGATGCCCTGAGCAATTGACGCTCAGGGTGCGGGATCGGCAAGGTTGTACCACCCACCTTCGTCCTCGGATGCCTAGACCCTAAACCCTAAACCCTAAACCCTAACCCTAAACCCTAAACCCTAAACCCGAAACCCTGAACCCTGAACCCTGAACCCTGAACCCTGAACCCTGAACCCTAAACCCTAAACCCTAAACCCTAAACCCTCTTAGTTTAGTGTTTGGTCTGTTTAGACCCTGAGTTGCATTAGCTCTGGAACCTAAAGCTCCGACTAAATCCTAGACCCTAAACCCTAAACCCTACGCCCTGAAGCCTCAACCCTAAACCCTAAACCCTAAACCCTAAACCCTAAACCCTCAACCCTAAACCCTGAACCCTAAACCCTGAACCCTAAACCCTGAAATGCCCGGAAGCCACAAACCCTCAACTGGAGGACTTTCTGCAGATCCACCTGCGGTTTAATCCACCTGCGGTTTGATCAACTTGCAGGGTCCTTGAGGCAGGGGGGTTTAGGGTTTAGGGTTTAGGGTTTAGGGTTTAGGTACCTAGGGAACCTTAGGGATTCCCCCCGCCCTTAAGGACCCTATGATACACCCGGTTTGCACTCGCCAAGGAGTGACCAAGGCCCCAGTGGCGCCAAAACCACCTCTTTACCTGGGCCGTGGTCGACCCTACACCAAACACCCGCAGGGTTTAGGGATTAGGGTTTAGGGTTTAGGGTTTTAGGGTTTAGGGTTTAGGTCTTAGGGCTTAGGGCTTAGAATATAGCCTGGATTGAATTCAACGCCACGCAGCCCAGTAATTCGGCGCTTGCTGCTCTGACGTAGCCATCGGCAAGCTGCCTTTGTGGTTCTTAGTCGGGAATTTGGGACTCCCATATCCCTAAAGGGTTCTATGTAGTGGAGTGACAGGGTGCAAAATTGCCAAATTCCCGATCAAGAACAACAAGTACGTTGCTTGCAGGAGGAGGATCTCAGAGGACGTGTGTCAGGTCGCTGGGGCATCAGCGACCGGGAACGCAAGCGTC